ATCTCCGAGACTCAATACCAGACACTAGTCAATTCTGGAAAGGGCTTAACTCAACTCACAGCAAGCAGAGAGTGAAGGAGGAGCAGGAAGGGAGATGCACCCAACCAGGTCATTTCTTGTCTTGACCGGACCCCACCTTCTAACAGCAAGATGACCTTTCAGCCCCACGATTCAAGCACCTTTCAAAAGCCCACCTATGAGCCCTGACGCTTCAGGGGACATCTAGCTAGAAACCAAGGCAGCCACCTTAGCTCAAGAAACACTGCGCTAAATGAGATTCATCTGGGCTGGGGATGTAGCTCAGTGGCAGATCACTTGCCTAGTATGTGTAAGGCCCCGGATCCAATCCCCAGCACTGAAAAAAAAAAAAAATCATTTCTTCAATTATCAAATGTTTGTTGGACACTTACTGTGTCCTAAGCACTGCAAGGGACTTGTGAAACATCAGTGAACCAAAGACTCATGTTTTCTTGGTGCATAGCTACTATCTAAGTAAAGTAGGCATATGTTATATATCACACATGCTTTGGAAAATGAAGAGATTGACAAGATATGGGTGATTGAAGGTACAGGGCTTTGGTGATGAGGTTGCAGTGTGAAATGTGGAGTCTAAACAGCTTTTCAAATGTCTGACCAGTTACAGTTGGTTAGTGGCAGAGAGACCAGAAGCCTCGTGGCATCTGATCCAGTGTTAATTCCACTCCTCTGTGCTATGTCTTTTATTCCCCCAGGTGACTGTTGCATATGAACATTCAGCTTTTGCTTTGAATTAGCTTTTCTCTTGTGACGTGTAGGCCTTACGTGGTTTTCCACTTAAAAGAGGTAATTCTCCGCTAGCATGACTCTTCTTTACAGGGCCGTTTGGCAAATCTGGAGATGGTTTTGGTGGTTATGAGCTAAGCAAAGTGTGCTACTGCGTCCACGCGTGGAAGACATCTGACAGTGCCAGGGCAGCCCCCTCCACAAAGAATGATCTGGTTCAGAATGTCAGTGGTGCTAAGGGTGAGAACCAGAACTAAGGGCTTAGAGTTTTCACCTCCTACTAAGACACATGAAACGATTACCAAATGGGTTTCACATACAAGTGCTGGTAAACTTCATTTCTGACCATAGAATGCACTTTACTCAGTGGAGAATGGAGGGATTGTTAAAATACGAAGACACAAACCACCCCTTATTCACAGACACCTACAATCCAGAACTTCCCAGATTGCTTTCATGGACTCCTTCATCTGGATATTTACTTATTTTCAAGCATATAGTTGTGCAGCTTCTTGCACGGAGAATTCCCAAGTGATTATTTATATCTCTTGATTTTCTCCCAGGTGTTTGTGTAGGCGTTAAGTAATCACAGTCTCAGTAAGGAAAGATCTCAGATACACTATTACAAAAACCAAAAATCACATTCAAACATATGTTACACATATCCTGTAGGTATGCAAGGGCTTTGCTCTTTATTTTTCTCTGTGAAATATATAGCCTGGCTTAAATTTCATGACTTTTTAATAGGTCTTTATTATTTGTAGTGAATAGTTTAAAGAAAATAAATAGAACATTATGTAATGACAACCTTAACCTGTAAGCATCATGCAGCATTGTGATGGGTCAGGGAAATGCACACACATTCCCGAACACCCAGACTTGTTATGCTTGGAAGCCGAACAGTCTTCTGCACCTAGATCAGCAAGCAAATTGCATTTCATTTCTGGACTTGAGGTCACTGGGATCTGTGAGGGGGGGTTAAAAGAGTTGTGCTCATGATGGTTAGCATCAGCAATCAATAGATTCTCAGAAGAATTGGACTCTGAAGCTCATTTGAACCTTATCTAGACTTAACTCAAATCCATGCAGATTTATCAATTTCACTCCTTTCCTCTGCCCTCCTTTCCTTCCCATTTCATCTTTCTGTTCTCTCTCCTAATACCTCTTGCTGATATTTTTTTCTTTTCAATTACCCGGATCCTTCAGGAGTTCTTTGTAACGTTATTTCTGTTGGCGTTTATGATATCCTTGTTGTGTTATCTTACAATTCTTTAAGCATTTTTGATTCTGTATTTCTTGATTTGTATCATGCTAGATTTAATTTCATTTGCATCAATCTCAGTATTTTTTTTTAATCTCAGTATTTTTTATGTCCTCTGCACTCTCTCCTGTTTCTTCATTGACTCCAGTCAGTCTTATGTTATTCTTGTTTGCATCGTCTAGCAGTTGCTGGATTGATTTCTCATGTTCCCTTACAATTTTGAAGCAATTTTTCTTTTCCTGGTCACTAATTGCAATCTTATCTTCTATATCTGAAATTCTGTCCTCACATTGGCTCATTCTGCTGTGTATACTTTCAATGAAGTTTTTAATCTCCTGGAAATCTGTTTGTATCTGTTTTATGGATTCCATTTGTTTCCTATGTCGGGATTCCATCATGCTCCTCAGCCTCTCTAGATTTATTAATCATGTCTTGCACTATGAGCACAATCTCTGCTGTTATCTGAGAAATTATTTCTGATTTCATTTTTTCCAGATCCTCTTTTGTTGCCAGTTCAGGGAGTCCAGGTGGTTGAGTATCAGATTGTTCCATCTCATTTCCCTTTGGGGTTGCTGTAGGTGATCTGGAAGTCTGGTTTTGAGAGTTGTTTACATGTCTTCTCCTTTCAATGGGGGGGGGTGCTGTTGGCACCCGCATGGTTCACCTCCTCTGTGCTGGGAGCAGTGAAATGGCAGCCCAGAAGCCCCTTCCTCTGTGCTGGGAGCAGTGAAATGGCAGCCCAGAAGCCCCTTCCTCTGTGCTGGAAGTGGTGGAACAGCCAGTATTTTTTAATATAAGGATCTTCTTATATCCAAAATTTTTATGAACTGTGTGGTAACAATGTTTTGTGTCTATTGACTGATGGTCACTAGAGATGAATATAGACACTGAACCTCTGTAATAATTCCCTGCTCCAGTGCTATCTTGTCCCCTGGTCCATGATCCTCAGGTGTGAACCAGTGATACTGATTCTATTTTGCTATAGACATGATTGTGATACAGTATCTGTTCAAGGACACAAAGTGGTAACTTGAGGCTAACCTTAACTTTCTCATATGAATGGTCCCAAGAAGGTCTGGGAGCCTATGAAACGTATCAATGCCTGTTTTACACAGTGGACCCGAAATTTCTAGATCTGAAAAAACTGTAAAAGATAAATTTTAAAATTGTAAGCAAAGTGTAAATCTGATGGCAAGTTTGGGAAGGATAACAAGGCAGTAACCATTGAAGGTTTTGTAATTCTAGAATAAAAGAGAAATGAATAAAACGAAAGCAATGTCAAGGCACTCAATGATCAATAAAGATTGCTGGTGTTTTTATATTGCTGCATTATAAGATGAAGAAGGGCAAAAATGGTGAGGACATGTTTTGAGAGAAACATATAAGTGAAATATTTTAAGTACTCTTACCTCAAAAAGGAAAATACTTCAGAGATGTGATTAAATTGTATTGCTCTGCCTAAGCTCAAATAAGAAGAACCATGAAAAATTTCAGTTGGAAACAGGAGTGGAAAAGGAAGAAGAGATGCTTTGGCATCAGATTTTGCTCAAATTTCATATCTGCTACCTATTAGCTTTTTTTTTTTTTGGTTTGAGCTTGTTATTTAAGCTCTCTAAGGCTCAATTTTGGTTTTCTTTTCTTCTCTGGAAAAAAAATAAAGTTCCTCTCTAGCTGATGAGGATTAAAGAAGACAATTCCCATCAAATGTTTGACTTATTAAATATATTATAGGTAAAAAGATCACCCCCTATTTATCAGGTTTCTTCAGTTGTATATGGGTGACTTTCTATATCCCACAAGTTCTATAGATTCAACCAGCTACAGATAAAAAATGTCCAGAAAAAGTAATTGCATTTGTACTAAACACGTATAGATTTTTTTCCTTATCGTCACACCCTAAACTATACAGCATAACAAAAATTTAGAATGTGCATTATATTAGGGATTATAAGTAGTTTAGAGACTATTTAAAGTAAATCAGGGGGCTGGGGATTTAGCTCAGTGGTTCTGCCACCTGCCTTGCAGGTACAAGGTCCCGAGTTCAATCCCCGGTACCAAAAAAAAAAAAAAGAAAGTATATCAGAGGATAGGCAAGGTTATATGCAAGTAATAACACCATTTTATATAAGAAATTTGAGCAACTGCATATAGATTTTGGTGTCTTTGGGGGTGTAGTCCTAGAACTCGTCTTCCGCGGATATTGAGGGATAACTATAATTGCATCCAAACTACTTACTAGTACAGCTCTTTGGTTTGCTTTCCTTTTCTTTCTCTCTCTTTCTTTCCCTTTTCTCTCTCTCTCTTCTTTCTTTCTTTTTCTCTTTCTTTCACAGTGCTAGGGATGGAACCCAGGGCCTCTGCTGCATTCTAGACAAGCACTTAAAAAGACTGAGCTACACCTCTTGCCCCATGGCTCTTTTATATGCACAAAAGGAGGAACCCATAATAGTTATGCAACATGTACATTGTAATTCCCAGGCACATCCTGAAGGATAATGTTTTTAAACTCAACCGAAGTTCAGAGAAAACAGAAGTCTGGAACAGCTCTTGTTGCACCCGGGGAGACCGAAACATAAGGGAAGATTTCACACTAGTGTCTTTCTAAAAATAAGTGGCTCCTTGAACTTAACCACTGCTGGTTCCTTTCCTTGAGAGTGCTCAAGTTTGAGTCTCTTTGTTTTTGGTCATTAGTGACAGCGAAACCTTCCACAGTATTTTAATCTTAGTTTCTTCATTTGTTAAATAAAATTCTAATCCTTGCTCTGTCTACCTCCCAGGGCCATTGGGATCAAATGAGATAATGTTAGTAAAAGTCCATTGGGAACTAAAAGTCACCAAATAATTGTAATGAAGGTTGATCAACCACCTTTGCCACCATAATGGAAACCAGTGACTCTCTCAGGAAGCAGAAAATCCACCAGTTTATTGTGCGTATCTTATAATAGCCTTTTGATCTCTTTTTTCCTTTCATGCACAGTTTGGAATTGAAGTGGTCTCATGTTGAATGGTCACAGACAGAGTATGAGGTCTGTGAGAATGTGGGCGTGTTGCCCTTGGAAGTGACCAGGAAGGGATATACCATGGAATCTGCCTTCGTTGGTATAAAGGTAACATCTCTCAAATGCAGATTGTCAAGCTGATACTCATGTTATTGATTGGTGCTTTTGATGATTTTCTTGGAAAAATTCCAAGTGACCAAAAATTTTTCAAACTTCACGGCTTGTGAAATTCTATAGATTTCACATACAGAATTTCCTTGTCCTCTCATGTTTCTTTTAAGTTCATTAATGTCTAGATTGTTGGGTTTTTATTATTTTACTTTTGGCATTGCTGGGGATTGAACCTAGGCCCTTGCACACACTAGACAAGTGCTCTACCACTGGGCCATAATCTCAACCCCTATAATAGTTTTTTAAAAACCTATCTTTAGTTTTGAAATCATCTCATTAGTCTCTATACATTCTTTAATTTTTAAAATTTAATTTTACAGAGAGATGTATCCAACTTAATGAAACTGGCTAACTGCTACTTTGGGAAGAAAAGTCATATACAATACATGCTGAGAGGTGCCCAGAGCCAATTTCAGTCCCCAGTGGCTGTCTCCTCATGTGCAACGCAGTCACTTTCCATAGATGCAGTGAATGAGGCAAAACAGGAGACTTTTGGGCCTGGGATTTAGCTCAGTGGTGCCACCACTTGCCTTTCAAGCGCAAGGTCCCGAGTTTGATCCCCAGTACCAAAAAACAACAACAAACAAAAAACAGAAAACAACAGGAGACTTTCACCTATCTTAAAAGTCACCCATGTCATATAAAATTAGGAAAGCATATCTTAGTGCAATACCCTGAAATACAGAGATTTGCAGATAATCAAAAACTGACCATGGTGGTGCACATATGTAAACCCAGCTACTGTACTCAGGATGCCGAAGCAGGTGAATCACAAATTCAACACCAGCCAAGCCCAGGCAATTAAGCAAGAACTTGTCTCAAAGTAAAAAATAAAAATGGCAGAGGGATGTAGCTCAGTGGTAGAGCACTTGCTAGGCACGGGTCCAAGCCCTAGTGCTGTTGCCCCCACCCCTGCCCAAATCAGGTAATTGCTTATGGATTAGTCAGTTTGCTATTCCTACATTACCATGGAGCAGAACCATGGCTTTTAGAATTGAAGGATTTGTAGGAGTTTTTTTTATAACACCAGCTCATCAAGGGAATGAGATTGAAAAGGGTGTACATTCTGATTATGGGGAAGGAGACTTTGGGACTTTCTTCCTCAATGTGATGAAAAAGGCAGATATTAGCCCCTGGAGGAAAGGATGTATCTGTTAGGTCTCAGTTGTAATAGTGCATTCAGATCACCCAGAGAACCTTGTGCACCTAAATTCCACTATATCCAGACTCAAACTTTGCCTTTCTAGTGAAAGTAGGTGCTCTTTGTCCTAGACACACTGGTACTTTATTGTGACTTAAACAGCAGAAAACAGCATGCACTACCATTTTCCAGGAGATAGCTTATGGCAGAGGAAAGAATCTGTCTGGGTGGCTTTCTAATAATCCCTGGTCTGCCATAGACACTGCCACACACTTTAGTTGGAGTTTGGGGCCACACTGCTGCTTGTCTTGCTGGGGAGAAAGAACCAAGTAACCGTGTGTCTCCTTAAGTTGAACGTGCACCCAAGGGTGCCCAATGAGTGGGAGGCCTTCAGCCAACACAGGCTCTGAGTCCTTGGGAGAAAACTACCTAGAGCATACCTGCCACTCAACACAAGAGCTTCTCGGCCCCTTGGCCAGGGACCGAGAATGGGGGAGGTACTTTCATCCTGGGGTGTTTGCCCAGGTTGAATTGTGCACCTCTACCTGACTGAGTTCTCCAAATACCTTGCCACCATATAGGATTCCGTAGACTCCGAGGTGGGTAAATACTATGTAATTGCATGTGTGAGGACCATGAAGGGAAAAATAACTTCTAGCATATGGCAGGGCCGGGTATACAATGGCTTCCTTTTCCCAGCGAAAGGTGGTCTGGAGGGAGCCTTGGGATTATAGACAGAGACCAAATGGAAGCCGAGGAGGGAACAGCCTTCAACAAAATGTCTCCACTGCAGATCCACCAATGCATGTTCAAGCCTCTGACTTGAAATGGAGACATTGTCTGCAGCTATGGAAATGGGGATTTTAAAGTTTCAAATTGTGCGCTCACTTCACTCCTTTATAAGAAAATGCACAACTATATTAACCCAGCTCCCATTCAGGTGTGGAAAGAGCAGGGCTGCACCCATACTGCAAGTGGAGCAGACTTACCAGCAGACTTACCTTGTTGTCTGGCTCAAGGCTTCAGTGACCTGGGCTACAGGATCCCTCACGAGTGAATGTTCTCTCCCCGGCTTCTCCTCCTCACTTCTTTTCCTCCCTCTCCTTTATTTTAAAACCAACTTGCAGTAGAGGGAAAGCAGTGAAATAAAATTGTGCTCATAAAACAGAGAAAAATAAAAATCTAAGTTTATGCTGCTTTTTCCAATGATTGAATTGTTTAAAGAGGAAAGGCAGAAATTTAACTTTAGGAAAGATCTGTGTAGCCCGCATCCAAAATGGTTTATTATAATTTTTTAAAAACCTTCCTTAATATTAAAAACAGATTTAAGAGCCCTGAGTTTAGTGTAGTATGGGGAGAATAATGTTTTTCTATTATAGAATATTTATTTTTATTTTTAAAAGACTTTATTTTCCCTTAAGGTCAACCAAGTGTCAGCTACAGTTGGAAAAGATTTCACTGTGACTCCATCCAAACTGATTCAGTTTGACCCAGGTATGCTTTGTATCTACGGTGTGTTTCATGTTTTTATAAACAAGTCTGGAAGCTGTAGCGAAGACAGGATATTATCTAACTTCACTGGACTAGAAGCTCCTCAGGAATTTATCACCCACTCTCAATCAGATAAGTTTGGACCTGACATTCTGCTCTCCTATTATTTTATTAAAGTGGATATTTATTTAAAATAGAAAAAAATCATAATAAATACAAAATATCAAAGCAACCATCCAAAACAATCCAGACCACAAAAACCAGGGTCTTTAAAGTTATTTAAAGTCTTCACACAAAGCTGTAATAATTTTATTGCTTCATACTTTGATGGGAATTTTCAGAATTTTTTTGGGGGGGGTGGGTAGAGGGATCAAACTCAGGACCTTGCACTTGCCAGGCAGGCACAGTGCCACTGAGCTACACCCCTGGCCCTGAATTTTCAGAATATTTACACGGACTCTTAAAGAGCACTTCCAAATGATCCCTCTTGGAATAGCTTGAAGCAAGGGGAAAATATTATTTGATTAAAGAATGTTTTAAATGTTTTGTTTTAAATTTGTGGAAAACTTTTGCTATGTGCAAAAGGGAATACAAAGATATAGCACCAGGTTAGGAATGTAGCTCAGGGGGAAAGTGCTAAAGTGCTTGCCCACAATGTGCAAGTTATTGTGTTAGATCTCTAGGACCTACGCCATGTGCACACACGACACACACACACACACGCCCGTGAAAAGAATGGTGCCCTCTCTCAAGGGTGTTCTAATGTTGTGTTGTGTGAAACATGTAGACATGAAAATACCCATTAACAGAACATTGGGACTGAAGGATGAGCCATTGTTCTGTTAAAGAAAATCCTGGAAGGCTTCCCAGGAGAAGCAGTATATAGCAGAGAGAAGAAAACTCCAGGGTGAAAGACCAGTGTAAGGGCAGTGGCACTCCTTTGGGGAAGGTGCCCCAAGCTGAGCTTGGGCCTCATCCTTTCCCTGGTGTATGTGGAAGGGCAGGTAGCTCTACCTCACTGCTCTGTGGGGTGGAAATAGACCTGGATTACCAAGGAAAAATGCCAAGGTCCTTGAGTAGAAGCCAGGGTCTGTGGGTTTGTGTTTCCCTTCAGAGCAGATGTTCTGCATTGCGAGATCATCCCACCAACTCTGAAGTTTTGACATTGCCCACTGCTAATATAAAATTTGGGGCAAAGGAAAAACAAAATGGCTTAAATATAATCACTACCATCTTAGTATTAAGCAAAAGTAATCCCTTCCTGTAGTTCCCCACAAATAGTAGCAAGACACTTGGTGATTGTATTAACAAAGTATCGCATGCTGGGTAATTTACAAAATTAGATTCTTTATCATCTCACATTTTTGAAGGCTACAAGTCCAGAACTAGGTGTGGGCTGGTGGATTCCTTCTCCGGCTGTGAGGGAGAATAATTCTGGGCCTCTCTTTCGAGCTTCTAGAGATTGCTGCAGTCTCTGGCTTTCCTTGGCTTCTGCCATGTCACCCCAGGCTGTGCCTTTATCTCACAGTACTCTCCCTGAGTGCATATCTACAGACAATGTCCCCCTTTTTTTTTTAGTAGAAATGTAAAAGTTTATTGTTAGATTCATACATTATAAAAATATGTTCGAATTTAAAAAAAATCCAGTATTCACTTCTGTGGTTTGAATGTGTCCTTCAAAAGTTCATGTGTTAGAAACTTGGTCTTCAAAATAGCAATTCTAAGTGGGACTTCTGAAATATGACCAGCTCTGCTTCCCAGAAGTGGCTTTGTTATAAAACTGAGCTCTCTCTAGGTAGCCTGCATCTCTCCCATGATGCCATCTGTGGATGCTTAAAGTAATCAAGTCCTCTTCCAATCTTAATCATCCATCCATTGTTGAACCTAATTTCTCAGTCATGTATTGAAGAAGAATATTCTATTTCCAACTGCACTCCATGATTCCCAAGTGACTCCTTTATTTCTTCCAGGCTACTTTGTTGTACTTTCTCAAACCCTTTATATCCAGAGAGGTGAGAAGATGAATCATTTTTACTTTACATGGTTTCTTAATAAGCATCTCACAAAATCGAAGGAAGTTATATAGCTGATGAGTTTGTCTAATGTAAAGGTCTTCTATCCAAACTTCTGTGACTGTCTCATTAAGGTATTCTTTAAAAAGTGACTCACAACCAAAACCTGTTGCATTCTTTTCTATCTTAATTTGTTTGTGATATTTTCCATCTTCTTTTACTTGATCCAAGTATTTCTTTATGTCTTCTGCTCTATCCATGTAGTGAGTAATTTTTTCTTTGAGATAACATCTCTTAGTATGATCCTGGGTGCCTTTCCGAACCTGTATAAACAGATCAATCCCTTCTTGGTAACACACTAGGGCCTGCTGGTACCGGGACTCCGAATCTAGTTCCACTGCCCTCTTCAGCACAGTGATTGCAGTTCTGCCATTGGGATCCCCCCCAACCTGGGACGTGGCCATAATTAAAACAATTCTCTTCCACCTCGGCCCCAGTTAATGTGAGCCGTGCTTAGTGCGCTTCCAGGAAAATCCAATGTCCCCTTTTTTAAGAACACAAACTACAGTAGATTAATGACCTGCCCAATGCAAGTATGTCCCCATGTTAACTCATTACACCTGCTTACCTGTGATCACCAAACAGTCACATTGTGAAGCAGTGGGAGTTAGAATTTCAACATAAAAAACTTTTTTTTTTCATGGATTGGAAGATTTAGTATTGTTAATATGGCAGTCTTTCCCAGACAGATTTGCAAATTCATTGTGATCTCTACCAAAACTCCAACCACATTTTTTCTTTGTAGAAATAGACAAACTGATCATAAAATTCATATACAATTGCACAGGACTGATGAAAGACTGACAATGTCTGATGTCAAAACTAACAGTGCTGTATATGTAATCAAATGTATGATATGGACATAATGTTACAGATCAATGGTATACAATTCAGAATCCAGAAATAAACCCACATATCTGTGGTCTATTGATTATCACAAATGATTTTTCACATTTATCAAATATATATCTATACTACCATGATTTTTTTTTTTCCCATACCGAGGATCGAACTCTGGACCTTGTGGTTGCAAGGCAGGCGCTGGAACCACTGAGCTAGATCCCTAGCCCTTATCATAAAAAACTTTGAGTGATACAATTCAGCATAGGAAGGTGAGCCTTAAATCTAGCACTCTTTAGTATTATTACAGTGGTACCTCGGATCATGAACCACATAATTTGGTTTGCAAACAGAGGCATTTGGCCCAATTTTGTTTTTGTTTGCAAACTCTGCATTGGGTGATGAACACAACTGGGGCCATCTTTCTGCAACCACGATGTGGCCGTCTTTTCCAGAATTGAGGAACATATTAAGTTCGTGAATGGAGGCACCGCTGTATTGTTCTTCCTGTGGTGTTTAACTTTCTAACTTGCTAAGTTGGTTTCTCATCCTGACCACACTTTGTGGGAAGAGCTCATTGTGGGCTGAATTTGATGTTTACCCTCAGGCTTCTGCAGGCTCTTCTGTGCTGGTCAACTGTACTGTGAAAAGACACACATTTGTACTGTGACCTTTTTGACCTTTATGTTAATGTGCCTTTCCATCCTGCATGCTGAGAGTCTTTGCCATCACTTCTTTTTATTATTAATGTCTGCTACAAGATCAAGGGTGCTTTTTGGCTTTCCTTGGGGTGTGATCATCCCACCAGCTGCTCTGTTTGGATTGATAGGAACTAGAATGTTTCACAGTAGGGGAGGCTTGGAAATCTACCTCTTGGGGATTCAATTGGATAAGATAAATACCCATTTGTCTAGAGGAGTTTACATGCTGTTCTGAGTAGACACTGAATGACTTCTGGAACACTAGTCTTTTTTTTTTTTGGTACATTTTAGGTATACAATATAATGACATTCATCTTTGGAAATTTGAATCTATACATAATGCATCTTGGTTCTTGTTTTTTCCCCATTCAACCCCTCCATCCCTCCCTATTTACAAAGACTTTGTTTCCATTTTTTCATTTTCTCATATTAATCCCATTCCCTTCTTTCCTTTCCCCTACCCATCCCACTTCCCCTTCCCCTTAGCCCCTTTGCTTCTATTTCACATTATCTATTATACCTTTTAGCCCTTATTTACACTTTCAGTTTCTCACACTAGAGAAACTATTTGGTATTTATACATGTGTGTCCTATTTATTTCACTTAAAAGTATCGCCTCAATGTGTATCCATTCAGCAATAAATATCTCTAGTTTCTCATTTTTTATGGCTGAATAGTACTCCATTTTATTTTTAAAAAACCCATATTTTCTTTATCCAGTCTCCAGTTGATGGGCATTTGGGCTGCTTCCAAGTTTTAGCTATCACAAACTGTGCTGCGATGAACATGGGTGCACATATATCACTGTGGTATGATTCTTTTAATTCTTTATTCTTTGGGGAAGATCCCTAGCAGTGGAATAGCTGGGTCAAATGGGACTTCCAGTCCTAGTTCTTTGAGGTATCTCCATACTGATTTCCACAGTGGTTGCAGCAATCTACACTCCCACCAGCAGTGGAGCAGGGAACACAAGTCTTATGATTAGAGATTATGTAGACATTTTAAAAAATAGTACAAGTATATCTTATAAAATTTTTAAAAACCACATGCTTGGATGTTTGTTTTAGAATTTAATAAGCCAGAAAGAGTTTCATAACCTCAAGTGTTGCTTTAGAGAATTTTGAAGTTCCCCATGGCCACGGGTCCTGCGAATGTTCATCATGCTATCCCTTGCTTCTTTTGGGTCTGGGGTCCCCCACCACTCCCATCCCTTCTGCCCAAATGGTCTGTTAATTCTCTAACTATAGCAGCATCCGTGACCTCGAAGACACAGAGCAAGCAATCAAGGATAGTGAGTGGAATATTACAAGGCTGAAGATCTCTTGGCCGAAGATCTCTTGCTTCTGGCTATGGTACCAAATCAAAACATGAATCCCGCCTCCTTGGCTTTCAGCTGTTGCGACTAAGATTAAATGCTCTTTAGAAAATGATTGTTTTCCTTTAAAATATGTGTTCTTGAAAGGTTTGTGGCATTCTTAATTGAAACTTCATCATTCCCAAGAGTCAAAATGTTTTCCAAAGGAACAGATCTCTAATGTGGCATTTACTAAACACCATTGAGAAAATGTCTTTCAATAGGGAAATCTGCTTTGCAGGAAAATATCCAGGAATTCACGTACTATGTAAAGTGGCATTTGTCTGTACAAAATGACACCTTCCCTCTCCTCTGGGACACCTTTTGTTTTATGGTAAGGGAGGGGAGCAGTTCAAGCCTTCTAAAAATGTAGGTATATCTCAGGTACTTAACACATACTTTGCACCTTGAAAGTTCAAGAGGAAGAGGGAAAAACAACAACAACAACAATGACCTCACTTCCAATCTCATTAATCTAAACCCCACACCTGCTGGGGATAGACACCAAGTTGAAGTGCAGACAACAAAGCAGAAACATTTAAATGGAACTCAGAATTTCTCTAACGATCTGTTTCTACTCCACAGGGCCCAATGAAAATTTTTAAGATTTTTTTTAGGGGAAGTGATACTATAATTTTTACAAAATGATTCCTAAAATAAGAGGGAAATTAGTTGGGGCTAGTATTTCTCCAAAAACTATCTGTATGCTTTCTTTATTGTCAGCTTCTTACTGCTCATGCCAATTTTATTGCACCAGTTACTTATGTGGTCTCCCAGCTGGTAGACTCTGTCTACCTGAGTGCCCAGGCCTGCACACAAAACTCTCTAAAGTTCATTTTGCTAAAACATCCACTTTCAGAATGCCCTTTCTCCTCTGGAGAACCCTCCCCATTGCCTGTGGTTTAGAGTCTGAAAGTGGCCACCTGGTGTCCAGGGCTCTCTGCAGAAATGTTCTGCAGCCTATGGTCTCCATATTCCAGCCAACTGAGCTACCCACCCTTCCCTAATCAAGGCCTCACCTTAACTAGCTTCCCGTATTTGCTTGTCATGTTTTCCCATTTTTGCATCTTTCCAACTCTGGATCCCCTATACGTATGGTATATGCTGTACAATCCATATCTTTTGGCAGGTAATCATACACAGTTCTGAATAGTTTTTGACCTTTCTGGTACAGCCAGAGCTCCATATCCACACATTCTGTATCCACCTTGTCAAGCAACCACAAATCAAAAATAATTGAGCAAAAAAACAATTGTGTCTCTACTGAATGTGCACAGAGTTTTATTTTCATGTTATCATTACTTGAACAATACAGTGAAACAACTATTTACACAGAATTAGGTATTGTGAGCAATATAGAGATGATTTAAAGTTTACAGGAGGATATCCATGCACTCTATATGGAGGACTTGAATATTCACTGCAGACTTTGGTATCTGAAGGAGATCTGGAATTAGCCCTCTGTGTATACCCAGAGTGACTATTTATCTTGTCCCCTCCAAGAAGTTTGAAACTCCTTTAAGTCAGAACTTAGGTTATGTTACACTTTGGTATTCTCCGTAGTATCTAATGCAAAGGGAAGCACTTAAGTACAAAATATGTTGTTTGTTTGTTTGTTTGTTTTGGTACTAGGATCAAACTCAGGTAGAGAGTTTGCTTGCACTTGAGAGGCAGGCGCTGGAACCACTGAGCTAAATTCTCAGCCCACAAAATATGTTTTGATGGATCGAGCCATTCCTTCATGGGATGGAAATTATATGAATTTTATATTAGATGCTTCAACTGCTTTTACAAAGAACACAAAAGTAATTGATTTGGGAACAGACTCAATACTGAAAGCTTAAGTAGTAAGCTATTAACCCATTTTTAAATAAAATTAATCCAAATACACCTAATTTTTCCCTCCGTAGGATAAGTGAATGGTTTCCTCTTTTCACTGAATTCTGGAAGGAATTAATGAGACTTTGATTAGATAGTGAGATCTATAAAATTTGCCTTTAAGAAAGAGGCCATCAGCCCAGCATGGTGGCACACACTTGTAATCCCAGCATTTGGGAGGCTGAGGCAGGAGGACCAGAAGTTTGAGCCCAGCCTCGGCTACATAGCGAGTTCAAGGCCAGCTTGGACTTAAATAATGAGACTGTGTCTCAAGGGGGAGCAAAGGCTGTCACGGGGATAGCACAGTCGACGGGCATAAATCTGTAGAAGGCAATCTGGAAGGAAAAAAAAAAAGTCCTATTTTCAGAAGAAAAGGCTAGGGAAAAGTGTTTAACTACCTTCTAGAGAAAGGTTTATGAGACTGAAAGCACTCAATGAGTAAAGTGTGGAGAAAGCATTTCAAACTTAGCACTGCAAAGTTAAACCATAAATTTACTCTTTTTCCCCTTAAGCTTGATCCTTCTTTCACTGCTAAACAGCATTCTCTTTACTTCCTGCTTCCACTTTCTCTTCTAAATAAACTCAAGGAGACAGTCCTGTAATTCACATCAGGGAAATCGGTTGGGAGTAGGACATGGCAGAAGTTTCCTCCTTTCATCTTATTTTGTGCCATGGTTGCTTTGCTTCCACTCTCCGGGGTGATAGGATGACTGGGTTAGGTTGGTGACATCAAAACTGTCTCATATTAGGGTCACAGTGTTGCTGGGTACCAAGCTCGATTGGGACTCTGTGAGCAGAGGCAGACAGACAGAGGGAGAACAAATGGGCTTAGCCTGTTTCTAGAACCCCCAGCCCATAAATTCTCTCTCAGAGGAGCTCAAACTGCTGAGCATTACATCATCAGAGAAAGCATCTGTGGACTGGAAGGGTCTCCGGAAGCCGGCAGCCAGTGCAGGCACCTGTCTGGAGAAATCAATCATTTCAAGGGTTCCATGAATAGCATGAAGTACCATCTAATAATCACTTCTGTCTGCATCAGCATCTTAAGATTTTTGAAACTATGAAGATTTTAAAATTGTAGTATTTGTTTATTCGTAGGAAGAGAAGGGACAGGTTGGGAAAAAAATTACATCTTAGATCTCATCTACTAGCAGTGTTTTTCATCCCTTGCATGGTGCAGCTTACTTTTTGTTACAGTGTTTGCATTGAAACGGAATCATCATTGTCCAGGAACAAATGCGGTCTTTTCATATATTTGGAGAACAGCAGGGTGTCAGTGAGTCGGTGGCAGTACAATAGCTCACTCAGGCTATTGCAGTCTAACTGTAGACATGTTAATTAATATATTTCTCTGACACCTAGGTGATTGAAATAGCAATTAAAGAGTAATTAAAATGTTTACTTCTTGTAGGAATGTCAACTAAGATGTGGAATATAGCAATTACCTATGACGGATTAGAGGAAGATGATGAGGTCTTTGAAGTGATTCTGAACTCCCCTGTGAATGCAGTTCTTGGCACAAAGACAAAAGCTGCAGTGAAAATTTTGGACTCAAAAGGAGGTATTCTTTTGATCCTCATCTTGAAATCAGGAGCAGTCCTGGCGCTTTGGCTGCTTGCTTTCAGCAGCCAGTATGCTTGATAACACCTTCAAATCAAAATGCTTAATTTCTTGTCAAGAAAGCAGCCTCAGTCATGATGTAGGCCCTTTATTCCAGTTTCTGCTTCATGTGGTTTTCCTCCTGCTAAGAACTATCGCTTGAGAAAAGCAACAAGTCAGTGCCGTAGTTGTTTTTTTCCTGACCGTTTGTTGTTCTCACCAAGGGGGAAACAGTGTTGGTGAGAATCTAGCGACAATTATTTTCCCCGAGAGTTCGGAAGGCTGTAATTATCTTCCTCTATTAAAGAGAGCTCTTAGTGCCTAAAACCCGAGCCCTGCTGTAGTGTACCAGGAAAACCCTAAGGGAAGGAATGGGAGAAAAATAGATGTGAAGATACAGCTGGCTGGGGGAGTCAGGAGCAGCTGGAGAGTATTAATGAATGACTTTGGCTTGCAGAGCCAAGCAAGCCCAGAGTAGTAGATGCTAAAGAACAACCTGTGAGCTAAATAAAATAAAGACCAGCCAAAGCATTTGGTGCTCAGGGTTTTTACTGCCAAATCCCTTCTAGTTTTTTGTCTGTTTAGCCTTTGACAAATGTCCAGTCCTGTGCTCCGTTTTATTCCTCCATGTTTGTACCTGCCATGTCTTGTGGTCCATATTTCTTTCCTGTCTGGAATCTGCAGTCTCCTCTTTGGCCCCTCTGTAATATAACAGTTTCCATAGCCCCTCTCCCTTCAACCTTTTTCCTCACCAAATTTTATTTCTTTTCCAGGAGAAATTTCTTCTCACATTAAATACACAAAATGTGTGAAGTACACCCTTTATACATGAAATATAAAATATCCTGGGCTAGGGATATACCAGTAGTACAGGGCTTACCTAGCATGTTCAAGGGCCTGGGTTTGAACCCAACACCAAAAAATAAGTTAAAAAAATAGTGAGATGAGGGTCCTCCCTTTAGATTTTTTTACACCATCCCCAAAATATTAATTGGCCAGATCTCCTATGGAAGCAGTTCTGTTAAGATTTACAAGGTATTTGTTCTGTAGCAGTTGAATGCAGATTTTTCTGTTACTTGATTTGATGACATCTTTTAAAAAACCCAGTTTCTACCTCTGGAAAATCAGGGGAAAACCAAATATTTTTGAAGTGCTTGTGGAATAATATTTGATCAATGAATAAAGCTGATATATTAAGGAGAACTGTAATAGAAAGGAAAAGCATATGATGATATCGTATGATTAGAAAATCATGACAATGATTTTCATTTGTGCTTTATGAAATCAGTTTCCTGACTGTATAAGCACCCTGTGGATGTGCAGAAGGGCACCACTCTTCTGGGTGGAAGCTGATGAGGAATAAAGGTGTTTCTGGCAAATGGCAAAAAGGCAACATCTGGTGGGAAATGCATCCATCTATGTTTGATGACAAGCTGCTCCAGGAGCTGTGTCAATGTGATCCCTTATCTGTGTGTGGAAAGTGCACTGACTGTCTGCCATCCTCATGCCTCCAGGATGGTGCCATCCCTCATCCTCCGACAGCCAGAGCAAGCACAGTGCATGGGAGAAGGGTATCTGGCACCTGCTGTCCACAGGGTCCGACTCACCCACCACTTCTGGCTCCCTGCGTCTGGAAAGAAGACCGCCTCCATCTTCCGAGCAGCCTGCGGTCACCAGGGGAGACTCCCCACAGGGCTTTGATTCTGCAGAGCTTGCTGGGAGGAAGCTCAGGACCCGTGGGAATGGCAGAGTGGTAAGGATGGGCTTCCTGGGCGGGGGTGGGGGTGGGGCATGTCCAATACACATGACAAGTCTTCTAAGAAGGGAAGAAGCTGTCCTGGGGCTCAGAGTGAGTTGGGCCGTGGCTCCCTGCAGAAGCATGCAGTACCTTTTGTATACAAAGACCACGACATATTCTAACTGAGGTGGTAAATACATTGATTCATTGATATGATTTCTGCTAATTTCCTTTTGTCATGAAGATACTTGGGGAAAAATCAGTGACCCCAGAACAAAAGGAGATTAAGGGATCCATCTGGGTATGGAAACCACCATGGCTTTCACCTTAACAGCACAGTGCTCTAGCAAAGCACATTCCCATAAGTACGCGTGTGCGTTCTTGAACCTTTGTGTACTATGGCTGTGCTAAAAAGTAAAGAGATTTTTTCTCCCTAATTTGAAACTATGTATGCATAAAGCAACGCAGTTATCCATGTGATTAGACCTATTGATTTTTTAAAATTCCAATGATTTGGGCATGGAAAAAATCTTAAGAAACCTGTTTAAAATTTTTTCAGTTCTTAAGCTCACACTGGAAGGGTTTTCCCTGTGGCTCATTACTGTTCAAGGCATTCCTTGTCCTTTGTGGATTTCAGGTCCATCCATCCTCTGTGTATAGAAATGGGACCAACGTCATCTACACTGTAAGCATACTCAGAGAATTACTGCCCTTCCCTTACTTACGGACGCAAAATATTTGGTGACACTATTACTGTATATGTTTTATAAATGTGTTCATCTAGTATTTTTCTTTTTTAATTTATTTTAGTAGACTGGTGAAGGAAAAAAAACCTTTCATCTTTTTGCTTAGATACAATTTTTCTTTTTTTGGTACTGGGGATTGAACTCGGGTCCTTACGCTTGCGCAGCAGGCGGCGAAACCACTGAGCTAAACCCCCGGCCCTAGATACAATTTTTGAACTGCTCATTTTTATAAAAAACTTTGTTTGCTATCTTGATGTTTTTTCTTCTTATTGTTGTTGATTGGTTTCCCTAAGTATCATAGGATGGTTTCCTTGAAACTGGAGGATGACAGTTTCCCGAGTCACAAAAGGAAGGACAAAGTAGCCCTCATTCGTCAGCCACAGAAGACAGTCAGAGCGGCAGAGCTGCCAAAAGCAGATAAGGTTGAATCCACAACTGGCTCACACCTCCCCAGACAGGTATGAAAATCTTCTTTCTTTCCTATCTACCTCATAAAAACCTGTTTGCTGGGCCGTGAACACACTTAATTCACAAAATAGCCTCCAAGCTTGGGGACAGATTACTCAACACAAAAGCTGCCCAACAAATGAAAACCTAAAGATATTTAATTGTGTAACCAACTTACATTAAGTCAGTTCAAATTGCCACTCCTCCCCATAGGGCCAGCTGCCCTCCTTTCCAAAGAACTGCACTGTGGAATTGAAGGGACTCTTCCATTTTGAAGAAAGCACCCAAAAGCTATATCAATGCAATGGGATGATCTGGAAAGCCTGGAACCCCCAAACCAAGGTGGGACTCAGGCTGAGAAGCCGTACACACTTTCCGGTACATGTCTTATGTGGCCTAATAGAGAGAATGGCCTGGTGTCTATCTGCCAACTTGTGCTGTGCCCGCCTGCCCTTACTATACCTTGAAGGCCAAATCACAAAATACATCATTAAATCAATACATTTCCATCAATACAATTTAAGAAGAATTTTACTTATTTCATTGAATTATCATAATGTCAGAGGCATACAGTTGAAACTGATGACTGAGGAAGTGTTTTCTGTAGGAGGTCATTGCATTTCTCAGGATGGAGAATTGGAATAAGGCTGACTCTGGTGATAAAAGTACTAAAGTCGGGAGATGTGTGGGGCTTCTTGTGCTGAGATCAGCCTCTGGATTGTAAAGACCATGATGATGTGAACACAGACAACTTTTTCAGGAGGCAGAGGACAGATCCTGCCCAGCTGGATGGCACCTTCACTCAGGCTACTGTCACACCTTGGTCACAGAACAGAAAAGCACCTGGAACACAGCTGCTCACTCTTGCAAGGAACAGTAAGGAGCCCTGTGTCACATTTGATTGGCATTTTCCATGATTTCTCTATTTTCTTGTGGAATTGGAGGTCTGCTTCATTCAGTAAACAAGGAATAAATGTAATATCTATCTGGCTTTATTTTAGGAACCTGGAGAGAGCTTTGTAGTTCAGGATGGATTTGTGACTGACCTTGATATATTTTGACTTAGGTCTTTTTGGTTAATAAAGCTATGCTGTTGCCACATTTCTATCTCTTTATTCTATCTCAGTTTCTAAAAATAAAGTCATAGGAGCTTTTCTGAGTTGGCAGCACTATATTTTCTGATCTCATCCTTCTCCCTCCTCCTTTTCTCCTTCTTCCCTCTTCCCTCTCCCCTCTCCCTGCTCTTTTCCTCCCCTTCTCCTCCTCTTCCCCTTCCTCCTCCTTGTTCTTCATGTAGGAGGAAGTCCTGCTCACTGATTTGTAAATATATAGTAATGAAGGCCTTAGTATCGGGCCTCTCGCAATATAAGAGGTACCGATGCTCGTAAAGCTTGACAAATTGGACAAAGGCTCACTGGGTAATAGAAAAGGCAATGAAAGATAACTTGTGGTCAGATAATGACATCAAAATTTATCTAGTCCAGGACTTTAAAAATGTACACATAACTATCACTGACTCTCCTTTTTATTTGCCAACCTGGATATTATTCAAACAATGCAATTAGACTGATATCCTCTATGGCTGGAAATTGAGATTAGAGAAATTTTAGTTGATAGTTATCAGATCCTACACTTCATCAAATTCTAAAAAGTTATGTTAGTTAAAGACAACATTAAGAAAATAAAAGGGCACACCACATTCAGGAAAAGCTGTTCTCAAGTCAGTATCTGATAAAGGCCTTAAATGCGGGAAAAAAGCCTGTAAATCAGCAATAATGACAACAAAACCAACTCAAAAATAGCAATTGACTTAGAGACCTCACATAAGTAAACGAAAAAGTCCTCAACACGATTAGACCATTAGATATTAGGAAAATTAAAACAACACTGACAGTCCATCTTATCCCAGAAAGAATGGACGTCATCAAGAAATCAAATAATAGCAAAAGCTAGTGAGGCTGCAGGGGAAAGCGAACCCTTCTGTATTGCTGATAGGAATGTAAACTAGTACAACCACTATGGAAATCAGTATGGAGATTCCTCAAAAAATTAACACTTAGAAATTGACTCAGCTATTTCCCTTCTAGATGTCTTCCCAAAAGAGTTAAAGACATCGTCTTACAGTGATACATGCACTCCCATGTTTATAGCAGCACAACTCATAATAGCTAAATTTTGGAAGCAGCATGTATGTCCATCAGCAGATGAGTGGATAAACAAAATGTGATGTTTACAGAGGATGGAGTACTATTCTGCCATAAAGGAAGATAAACTTGAGTCATTTGTAGGAAACTGGATATAACTAGAGACCATAATTTTAAGTGAAATAATTCAGACACACAATCTGAAATATCACATGGTTTCTCTAATGTGAGAAACCCAAAATATAAATAAGGAACAAATTAAAAGGTAGATAATAGGAAGTAGGGAGATGGATCACTTTTAGAAGGGAAGGAGATAAAGAGATGGAGGGAGGGGGAGAGAGGAAGGGAAGCGGATGAAAAATGCAGGTAAGGTGTGTTCTGTACATGCACCAACTCCCTACAAGGAATGCAAACATTATGTGCTGCAAAAACTTACTAATCAAAATAAATTTTAAAAAGTTAAAACCACAGTGACCGCCTCGCACCTACCAAAGAGTTAAAATCATAAAAATGACAACACCAAATGTCAATAGTGTGTAGAGCAAATAGAACTCTCATATATTGTTGGTGGATGTATGCAATGGTACAACCATTTTGTAGACCTGTCTGCAATTTCTTAGAAAGTTATATACCCTATGGCCTGGCAATTCTACTGGTTAGGTATTTAACCAAGAGAAAAATAAATGCTATAAATACAAAATAATTTCATAATAACTTTTTTCATATTAATAACAATTCGAGTTATTTGTCTTTTTGTTATTGACTTGTAGGAATACTTGACATTTTCTTCATAAACAAGAAAATAAATTATATTTTATATAAATTCTTTTATAAACAAATGAAATGAACTATTGAAAACTTCCAAAAATGTGAATGAACTATAGATAAAACAAAACAATATATAGAGAAAGCAGCATTACACAATAGAATGCATATTGTATGATTCCATTGATTTGAATAGGAAAGTCTAATGTATGGTGTTTCAGGTGATAAAAGGCCATCAGCAGCAGGCATTATAAGAGGACTAGAAAACAGCACTAAGGAATCTTCTAGAGTGATGCAAATGTTCTCTTATTCTGGGTAGTTGTTATATGGATGTATATACATTGCCATAACACATCAAATTGAATATTTAAAGACCTATGAATCTCATTGTATATAAATTATACCTTGATTTTTCTTTTAAGACAAAGTCTTACTATACATTGCCCAGGCTGGCCTTCAACTCCTGAGTTTAAGAGTTCCTCTTGCTTGAGCCTCACGAATCTGAGTAGGCTCATGACACTGTTCTTAGCTTTATACTTAGATTTTTAAAAATCTAATAAAATGTTTAAAAACTGGGCATATCAACCACTTTTTTTCCACTGGTGTATTTCATGTCCTGAGTATTCTCTCATGAGTGTCTTTGGGTGCACTGTCCTGGCTGCCTCGCTGTCCTGAATTGCTTCAAAATGTTGCCCTTTCGTGCTCCTTTTGACTTTGGGGAACAGCCAGAAGTCACATGGTGCCAGATCCAGTGAGTAAGGTGGACATGCTGTGATGTTTTTACTTGACAGCAGTTGCCACACCAAAAGCAATGTGATACAGCATTGTCACGACAGAGGGTAAAACCTTTTGCTCATTTCTCAGGACATTTCTATGCACGTCATTTCTGCCAAATAAAAATGTTACAGACCGTCTTCATCTGCATTATTCACCAAATCTAGTATCATGCAATATCTGACTCCTCCTTAAAGTCAAAATGAGAATGAAAATAAATGTTTTGAAACAATTCAGGATAGCGAGGCAGCCAGGACAGTGCAACTGAAGACACTCATGAGAGAGGACTTTCAGAACTGCTTCGGAAGGTGGCAAGAATCAGGGAATAAGTGTGTTTTAAATAAGGGATGGTATTTTGTGGGAAATTAATGGCAGTATTCTTTTACTGTAATAATTTTTTGTTTAAACATTCACTGTGTTGTTTGATCATACATTGCATATTCCCATAGTGCTATATGTTAAATAAGGCATTCTTCAACAAAAATAATCAGATGTCCCACTGTCACTTACAACTTATTCTAATGTATTGAAAGCTCAGGTAGGAGTAGATACATTGGTCTTGTTACTCCTTGAAGAGAGATCTTTCACGTAGAACCTAATGCTGTCTGATCAGTGTGCTTCCAAAGGGAGATTATGGTTTCTCAACTGACCAAAATGAGGGCAAGTGCACTGGTACTCCATTGAGGGATATCAAGATTAAATTTTTTGCTAGCATTTGTTGCTAAAATGTAAATAAACACAATGGAACCCCCAGCATCAAATTTGGAAGCAGCTTTATCTTCCAGTGGTTCTCAAAAGACAAGTAACTGTGGTTGTCTCTCATGAACCTTTCACTGGCCAAATGTTATGAGAAAATAAAGGCATCATGTACTGAGAGCTGTCTTTCCTTCCATTTGATAAATGTCAGTGTGAGGCTGCCAAGTATTTTTGACTAGAAAGGCTATTCTGTATCGTGAGATGATGATCCTTTAGCTTTTTGGGATCAACAGTTATTTTTTATAAAATAATGGCAACTGACAGTCATATTGCTAATGCATTCTTACTGACAACCTACGCTGGTCTCCCAGTATTTTTAAAAATTTTATTTTACTGATCCATCTAATTGCAGCTAGCTGTTAATGGTGAGTAGCAAGACTAGTTACAGTTTCTCCACTGATCTCTTAATACTATACATTTGATCATCCAATGATAAACTTAGGGCTCCAATTAATTTCAAAGCTTACCTATTTGACTTAAGACCTCATCGGCAATTTGAAGCACAGTTTCCCATGACCCACACTAGCCTGACCTAGTTCTACCTGCCTCCTTGCCAATAACGCCTTACTTTTATGTTGTGCATTGTAGTTCCCCAAATTCTTTCACATGTATCAGCTTATTTGATCCTCCCATCACTTCTGTGAGGGAAGCAAGTATTATTAGTTACAATTAACAGATTAAAAACAAGGTTCAAGGAAGCAAGATCACTTGCTCCTGGTCATTCATCTAAATAAGTAACTGAAAAAGACAGAGGTTCCTATTCTAATATACTGTACCGAACAGCTCCACAAATCTAGGGGGTTTCTCCTGACAAGTGTATTGACAAGCCTGTCTATTTTAAATTTGTGTTGGGTTAATCTAATGTTCTAACATTATGTATTGAAAATTTTGTATCACTCAGCAAAAAAAATTAAGACTTTTATTAAATTATGGATCCTAAATTTTTTTTGGATTGGAATCACGCTAACCTTTCTGGGCAAACCTAAGGTAAAATCAAGCTCTGAATTTATGCCTTCATTCATTCAACAGCTATTTCCTGGGCACTTATTGTACTGCAAATGTCTAGACCAGACCACATTTTTAAGTACTGTTCTAAATAACTTAATAATTCCTTATTCATCACGGAAGAAAATACTATAATTCTTCAAATTCAAATGTCCTATACAGTAAATACTAAAAGCTACATTACACATCACTAATGTTATCTATCCTGATGATTTCTTCCATAACCCCACCCCACAAAGCTCTTTTAAGAATGTGAAATTTGCTAAATTTAAATGACAGAATTTAGTTTTGAGTTGTCATCTTATTATAGGTCCAGTTAAGAAGTTCCTTTATACCCTCTAATCCTAGCTACTCAAGAGGATGAGGCAGGGGTATTGCAAGTTCAAGGACAGGCTGGGAAACTTAGCAAGATCCTGTCTTAAAATAAGGGGTAGCTCAGCATAAGGCCCTGGGTTCCATTCTCAGCAGGAAGAAGAAAAAATCCCTACACCTAAATCTACTAGCACGAGTTGAGAGCCATGTTTGTTGAGTGCATGTGTCAGAACATGCATGGGACTGAGAAGTACTGTAAGTGAAAAGGCATTTTGTTCTGGACTAAATCATTATAAAATCCATTATGATACCTGAAAACTTTCCATCTCCAATTCAAAGGGATTATAACTAACAGAATTATCATATCTAGAAGATTTACAACTATTACTGTTCAAATTATTTTAAAGTTATTTTGATAAATTCTAATCTCAGGGAATTGTTTTAAACTGTAAAACTGTTACTCTTTTTTAGATATAAAACTAAGAATGGTCTCTCAATTAGAAAAAAATTTTAGGAATAACTGGAGCTTTTTAGTAATATTTCACAAAGTGTCAGTAAAATAAACTCTCAAATTTCATGTTACTTATTCACGATAGTGATTCAAAAACTAAAACACCTATCAAATATCATTTTGGATGGTATTCTGGAATAGAAGCTGTAATTTTAAATAGTTAATTGAAATAATAAATATAAACATTTAATTTGATTGCATTTCCATGTTTTAATACGAATTTTATTTCAGTAGGACAAGAAGAATGATCATAGCTGTACCACTAGTCACAGATATTTTTTAAAAGTTTACTAGCAGATAAAAGCAAAACAGAAAGTTATCTTCCTTTGGACCTATCATTTTAGGAGGGACATTTTTGGGTGCAAGGTCACCAACGCAGTACAAGTGTTCCCTAAACCCCAAGTCTGTCTCTGCCCATTCAGTCTATTTTTAAATCGTCCTTTGGCCTCCTTACTTCTGTTCATCCATTCCCTTCTAGTTCATTGTTCCTTCTCTAACCCTCTGGGAGTTGTCAGTTCCTCTGTGAGGTAAAGATCACAGTTCAACATCTTGTAACCTGGGGATTTATCTTCTTCTCAGGCATTAGAAGATGGTTTCAGATTCTACTATTAGAATCCGTGTGCCCATAGTATGTTTTTGATTTGGTCTTAGGAGCCATTACTGATTCTTTGCTCTTTCCTGGGGTTCTCTGAAGACTTCACAGACGACTATTTTACTTTACCCCTTGTCCCTAATCAGATTACTAACTCAACTCAGTCTTTATCTGAAATCACTTTTCCTCCCCATTGGTGTTGCATTATTTTTCTAACCCAAAGGAGCCAGACTCCTAGAGTAGGCATTTCTTGAATTTACATATTGTAATCTCATCTGCTCATTTCCTAAGACAGTCACTGTACATTTGGTAATTCTATTATTATAGATCATTATCTGTGAAACCATTTTGTCTTCCCACAGGAGTGTCTGGAACCCCTGCCGGCCTAGCCTTAAAGAGTTGTCCTGAAATGTACTGATACTTAATCAAAGACTTTACAGAAGTAGATGTTTATTTCTATAACCAGGTTTCTGTTTCTAATTCTATACTTTAAATGCCTTCAAATTTCAGAGCTGTGAAAGGATTTTTATATTATCTACATGTTTCTTGTTTTTATGTGAATAAATACACATATCTGAATAGATAATATCCACCATATTTTATAGGTATGTGAGCAAAAAGAAATCGAATGATTTTGTAGAATAATCAACATATAAATACACAAATATTTATCCATGGAGTAATTATGCTCTAACACCATATCTAAACACAGCTATTTTCCTATCTGAATTTTTTTGGACTTGTTTTTGGAGATTCAAAAAGAAAACTGAAAATGTACTGAAGCAGCAAAAATGCATTTTACAAAGACTGTTTTGAAAATAGTTTCAGGAATATTCAAGCTAGAGGAGATGCTAAATATCCTTAAATAAATCCATTACTCACTGATGAGGAAGTTGAGGGTGCCAGGCTGGTGAACTTCAGTAAAAACATTAGTGAGGGAATTGAGGGGGAGTTCCTTGAGGAACTGAGAGACAGAGCAGGAGGGGGGTCCTCCTCTCTGTGCTCACCCATGCCTTCCTGTGGCCCACGTTTAATACAAGTGCTAAATTCTGTGTTTTAAGCCCAGAGCACATAACCGGGTGTGATCAAGAACTATGGTGAATATTCAAGTCGGAAAAATGCGTTCCAGTGAAAGACACATTGCCATTAATCCCCCTCAAAATCCCCCCTCTCAGTGCAGACACATTTACCCCATCGTGCTGGCCGCTTTCTTAAGCAGTTTGGAAGTCCTTTTTCATGAGTGCTGTGCTGTCGCTCTTGTGGCAGCTTCCATGCCCTGAACCAATGTTTACCTTTCGTGGTCATTTTAACTTTGGGGAAGACCCATATCCAGTGAATAAGGTGGATGAGGAATGCACTGTAATGTTATATTTGACAGAAATTGCTGTAAATGTTTGAGGGAAGAATGATAAAAAATACAGTGAATATTCAAATTTTAAAATTTGATTACAGTAAAAGTCACGTTACCATTAGTCTCCCTCAACATAATCCCTTTGTTTCAAACACACTTATCTCATTGCTCTTTGCAATGTGTCTTTTTTTTTTTTTTGGTACCGGGTATTGAACTCAGGACCTTGCACTTATGAGGCAGGCATCAGAACCACTGGGCTAAATGCCTGGCCCTGCAATGTGTCTTTTACTGTAGGGAGTTTATTTTTTTTTCCCCATTTAGTTTATTGGTACATTTTAGGTATACAGTACAGTTACATTCATCGTTGGGATCTTGTACCTTTACATGACGCGTCTTGGTTCTAATTTTTTTCCCTTCCCCTGCCCTCCCTTCACCCCCTCCACCCTTCCCTATTTACAAAGACTTTTTCCCATGTTTTTCCTTTTCCTTTCTTTCCTTTCCCCTTCCCCTCCTACTTCCCCTATTCCTTTAAACATTTTCTTCCTATTTCACAATATCAATTATACATTTTGATTATTATTTACACTAAAGAAACTATTCAGTATTTACACATGTATCTTATTTATTTCACTTAAGAATATGGCCTCAAGGGGTGGGGAATTTAGCTCAGTGGTTTTGCCGCCTGCTGCTCAAGTTCAAGGACCTGAGTTTGATCCCTGGTACCAAAAAAAAAGAGTATGGCCTCAATGTGTAGGGAGTTTATTTTTAATTAAAGCATTTACCATATGTTTCGAATGCCCCTTATAAAATGATCATACTGAGTTTGAGAGTCAGGGCAGGGAGATGCCCCAGTGTGCCTGCTGTAACTGTCAGAGAGGAGCTGATGGTGAATGACAGGTCAGAGCCAAGTCTTGAAACCCAAATCCAGCAGCCTGAAGCCACTGGGGGTGAGACAGTGGGGAAGAGTCATATTACATATCTCAAGAGACCTGGAAGACACCGTTGTAGTGGTACTCATGCAAAAACAACCATTAAGAATCAGATAAATAGCCTGGGATTTAGCTCAGTGGTTCTGGTGCCTGCCTCGCAAGCGCAAGGTCCCAACTTCAATCCCTGGTACCAAAAAAATAAAAAATAAAAAAATAAAAGAATCAGATAAATAATATGCACAATATGTGACAAACACAGAGAAATAGACCTGAATTCGGAAAGACATAGGCAAAACGAATAAAATTTAGTTCAACAGTGGTCTGACCTTATATGAAATGTTGTTAATTTTGTTTCCTCTTTGTTTTCATATCAATGGATATTGACCAAGTAAGAAAATCGTGATTTTTTTGTCTGTTTTTTTAATGTATTAAAGTTATTTCTTTTTAATTCAATTTTAATTGACAAGAATTTAGAATATTTATGGGATACGGTGTTATATGTATACACTGTGTTTCTTGTTTGAAATCTTTTTTTTTAAGGAAGATGAAAAATGATCTATTGACCTTTAATTTAAAAAATTTTAAAGCTTTTAATAAGCACTAGTGGGAAATTACACACAATCAAACATTACTTATAGGAATAATTCAGCTGCCTCGAATTCATAGAGAATTCTATTTTGTTGGGAAATTTTTGTATGCCCTCGTAAGAACAGATGCTTTAACTCCTGTCAGATATATGAAGGTTTGACAATAGGGCTATGAGTTATTTCACTGAATATAATGAAAGACTCATAATTATTGAGTTATTTTACTAAACACACCAATTTCAAAATTTAGACTTCAGATCATTTTATCTGAATAAATGGTTTATCTTATGGATCAAATTAACTGAATAATTGTCAAATGTATACCAGTTAGAAAAAACTTATGAGAGAAGTAGCATTTTTGGCATTGAATTCTTAATCTTTATAAGTAGGCAGTTGCTAAGTTTCCACTAAGATATTTAAAACTTATTGAATTGTGCCTTAAAGCTCAGTTGTTATTAAAAAGAGAGAGTGAACACTTCCCTTGCTGTCCCCCACTTCTACCTTGCAGATATGTATGAAAGTAAAAACAAAGTATTCAAGTCCTGGAAAGTTCTTTTGACATATATACTCTTTGTATTTTAAACTTATTTTTATTTCTATTGTGTTTCACATGAGCAGAAGTGTTATCTCCCTGTGGCTGACTGTTGTTTTCCCTTTGTTTGTGCCTAGATTTCTGGGCAACCTCGTAACAGTGTTCTCCAGGCAGCACATGCGGTGGCTGTGGGACCTCAGTAGGAGGAAGCCCTTTTGGATAGGCAAGTATCTGTGCTCCACTGAAAAGGGAGGCGAGAACAGGAAGAGGACGGGTCCCACACCTTCGCGCCCTTCCATGGACTGAATGCTTATGGTTTATAATAACAGGGAAAGGTCAGATGGTCAGTCTACACATCTGTCTTCTAAAACTCGTCCTAAGTGCTGGGGGTGTAGCTCAAGGGAGAAGCATGTGTTTAGTATGTGCCAGCCCCTGGGTTCAACCCCCAGCACCAGAAAATAAAACTCACCTTAAACCTTTTGACACAGTAGTTTTCATTTTTCAACATCTATCCCAAAGATATAGAGATGTGGTTAGATTGATAGCTAAGAAAATTTAAGAGAATGGTGTTTCTAAAACGAAAATATTAGAAACATCTATAAATAGAGTATGGTTAAATTATAAAATGGCCATATAAAAATATTTAATGCTTTTATAAGGCCTTAGCTATTATAAGCATGAAAAAATGCTTTATGTTTACCTATTAATTGATTCAAAAATAAATTGATATATATTCTATACAAAATATAATCCATTGCATTTGTAACAAGGTGCTAAGTAAAAAAGCAGAGTCTACTGTTATATGAAGTATGAAATCACTTAGAATAAAAAAAAGAAATTTGAGCCATGCATGGTGGTACATGCCTGTAGACCCAGCATTCTGGTAGGCTGAGTGAGGCAGGAGGATCAAAACTTCAAACGCAGCCTGGTCACCTTAGTGACTTAGTAAGACCCTATCTCAATATAAAACATAAAAGGCCTCGGAGTGTTGCTCAGTGCAAAGGCCTTGGGTTCAATCCCCAGTTCAGCAAAGGAAACAAACAAATAAATTAAATTTATGTGCATGCAGTGTATTCATAAATATAAAGAGTTATAAATTGAAGAATTAGAAATGATTCATCTCTAATAAAAATTATAGATGGTCTTAATTTTGCTCTTTGTTTCTGAAGATTTTAATATTTTCTAATTTTGAATGTACTAATCTTTTCAAGCCCCCTGACAGATGTTATGGCTTTGCCTTCACAAAGTACTTAGGCATAGTGTTATTTTATTGATAATCCAAGTAAGCAATCCTGAAGAAAATGAGGTATTCCTAACCAAAAATATTTCAGTTGCTTCTACCCTAAATATTGACAGCATCATTTGGGAGAAGGCAGTATGGTATGTAACTAGGAATGCCTTCATGGTCAAATTTGAGTTTCAAGATATCAGATTATGCTACTGAAGAGGATTCCTCTCTTATCTTTCCTTTTTTTGTTTCTACTATGAATGAGAGAGAAGGGAGAAAATGCCTCTTTAAAAAACCATTCTGGACACGTTACAACACTAAGTGTAATTTGTAGAAATTGCTGGTGGGAGTAGAGAGGGAAGAAGAGCAAAGCTGCTTTTCCTTGGAGTTGTAGCAGATTGAAACAGTTTAAGCTCCAGACTAAAAATAATACATTGTAAGCTATTTTCAGGTATGAAAAGTAAGACATTGAAATAATGAGGAAGAACAGTGGTCAAAAGTGTTTGTTTTCATGTGATAAGAGCTTTGCCTGTAGGATGATACAGTAATAATAAGCCACCATTTTTTAAATAAGTGGGTATGTCAAGAATTTTCCAGGGATTATCTAATTTAATCCTCAGAACAGCCTTACTTGAAGTATTTTTGTGTCCATTTCTCAGATGAGAAAACAAACCTCAGAGAGGGTAAATTATGTGCCCAGAGTAGCCAACCAGCAACTAGTGGAATTAGACTTGGGACGTAGGTCTGCCTGATGCTAAAGCTTTATACTTATCTTTGTGTTTTGGAGTATTTTCCATTTCTATTATCTGTTTCAGAACCTGAGCCCACATTAACTTGTGTTTAGAACAATAGAATGGACATGATATCGAAAAATAAATGTACTAACATTTTTGGTGCATTCTTTTGGCTCCCATTAGGTTTGAACGACCAAGGGCGCACTGGCCACTGGGTGTGGATTGGCGGTGAACCTCTCACCTTCACCATTTGGAAGAGAAGGTCCCCTCCACATTCACAGTTTGGAAAGAACTGTGTTTTGTTTCAGAGTCAGGGGAAATGGAAAACAAAGAACTGTAGGAAAGGCAAACCTCACAATTTCGTGTGCTCTAGGAAACTCTAAATGTAACTGGCTCTGTGGGTGCCTGCCTGAGATTTCTCACCTATTTATTAACAAGATTTATGAATGTTGCTCCATAGAAAGCAAATTGTCATGACTGGATGGATGCACTTTTGTGATTCTATCTTGTAAAAATAGAACCTAGAGTAATAATTCCAGGAAGGCTAATAAATGAATATTTCTTATAAAATGAGATACAGTTTTTATCTCAGTATCTTTCATGATAAATGCCTGCAGTATTGTACAGTGGACTTATTCCAGAAGACCTAGATAACCACCACTCTCCAAATCTCAGGCAGCACCAATTTTATGTTCCTTGGATTTGATTTATTTACATTACCTCGAATGAGCCCATTCTCAAGTCTATTGTTGGTGCTACTACCATTGTAGTGTAAGCGAAGTGCACCCTCCCACTTCATTAAACCAAGGCTGAGTTGCAAATGGTTTGCTTGTCCTTTGGTACCTTTTAAATGTGAAACCTAAAATTGGAGGCTGTGGAAGGAAAGAAGAATTGTTTTTCTGATGGCTGAATCTTGGAGATGGAGGCTCAAAGTTGCAAAAGTGAGAATTCAGGAAGCTCCCCAGCATCACTCATGAAACATGCCTCCTTCTCAGTATGAATGTCAACATTATGCTACCATCTAAAGCTAAAGATCAGGTTTCTCCAGACTTTCAGAGTCATGAGAAATTTGAAGTAACATAATCTCTTCATTTTCATCAGCGTTTATCGTACTGACTGGCATTTCTCAAGGACATTGGAATAGGGTGTACATGTGAATGATGATTGGCATATGTAAGAAGAATACTGCTTCCTTGGAAGCATCCCCATGAACTAAGCTGATCAATAAAGAAAAGTAACACAGAAAACAGTGATTGAAAAAATATCTACTCAGAATTTTGTTGTAATTTTGAGCCCTTGAATCTTTACTTTCAAAAATGTTATGTTAACTTGATTCTGTAATGGAAAGGTACCTTATTAATTTATAAACTTAGCTGCATGAAATATTTTTTGTAGCAATAAAGCATATTGTATCCCTCCCAGAATGCCTTACTAAAATTAAGGTTTACTCACAGGAAATCAGAACTTTATTTTTAAAATGTTTATTAAAGATTTTCCTCTTTTCATAGTCATTGAAAAATAAGATTGTACCAAATGTAACTTGCTGTATGAGTGCCAGAGTAACTTCAGAATTAAAATTGGGTTATCTAGTAGACTAGAGTTTTGGTGCAAGCCTTTTTTAAATAATACTTTGAGTATTGTAGGCACTAAAAGTGATTTAAGAAAGTCATTCTAGTTTCTGGATATAAAAACGTGGCAGGCTTGGTTTTTTCTGTTCATTTGTTTTATTTCTGTTCATCTGTCAAAGTTTTGACTAACAGAGAGGTGCATAAGAGTCAAACCTTCTGTCTCTTACTTAAATATAAATATGCAGTAATTGTAAAGTCTGGGGGCTCCTTACCTTAGATATCTAAGGTGGCCTTTAGATTGGCATAATGCACAGATCTCCCATGCATCCTCTAGTATACAACCAAATATGCCACACCTATCCTCTACACCAGCTGCAGGGCGGTTCAGGGCTTCTGCAGTGTGGAAAGGTGGGATTAAGCATGAGGAAAAGAAGGAGTAGGTCCTAGGAGGAAAGTGAAAGATTAAAAAATTCAAGGGCAACTGCTTGCTACTGAGATTCTGAAACTCTGAAAATTATTTAGAATTTGAAAGCTATGTCAACTTGATCATGTAGAACTTGGTTGGCGTGGGGAATCTGTTACACTGTTCTGCAATAAAAATAATACAAATATCATGGCAAATGATGGCATACAAAGAGAAAGCTGTAATTTTTACAACAGTAGAAATACCAGTAGAATATTTTAAAATATTCCTGATCATGACAATAGTAATCAAGTTAGGAAATCCAAGTAATTGGAAGACCACACAGATCTGGGTAAGTGTGAGTCCTGGGCAGGATTCACCATGACTTTCCTACTTGATCATGGTTGAGGTTGGACTTGCGGAAGAAGAGGTAAACAGTTGTCAAATGTTCCTCGTGTCCTAATTGGTCACTCCTACTCTTTTGGTTCTAGTGGGAATGGGAAAGAAGGAAACATAGAGATGAGCAGAATGGGGGGACTGGGAGGTTACAGAAGAGAAGAGCCTGGAGAGAAAGGTTGAGCAGGAAAGGACTGATGGTAGCTCAGTCCTAACTGTCACCAGTTTTCTTCCCCAAACTTGAATACTGACTCATAAAACGCTCCCCTGTACCCAAGGGCATGTAACTTTTAAGACTCTTCTGAATGTTGGTCTTAAAAAACATATAGAATGTATTTGCTAAAAATAAATTTTAGCTGAGGATTTAGCTCAGTGGTTCCACCGCCTGCTTCGCAAGTGCAAGGTCCCGAGTCCAATCCCTGGTACCAAAAAATAAATAAATAAAAATAAATTTTAAAAGCATATGATAATCATGTCATCTCCTTCCATGCAGTGGTTAAAACAAACCATGTGGCACTTATTTGCATTTTTGTTTTTGCTTATTTTTAATACAGCCAAAATATATGTACCTATTTTAATCAATACCATGGTTCTGTGCAATTTCAGCCATAAACCGGTGCTGATTAATTTCTTCAACAAAGCAGCATATTAAGTGTACTATAACTAGTGTTGTATCATAATTAATAAAATGAAATTATTTGTAGGTCTCAGATACTATTCTTTTAGTTTTTCATATTTATCTTTTTCCTGGGAATACATGGGTTTGAGGTCTTAATGATAAGCATGTCTCATCTTTACTGTTTAGACCTGCATTTAGTCATATGACATTCACACATCCTTACATCATTCAGTTAAAAGATATTACATATAGATTGTCAACTCTGCACCTGGCATTGTTTTAAATGCTAGAGATCTGTTACTGAATGGGATAGGAAAATAAAAAGCATAAAAGCATAGCACTCTGGGAGGCAGAGGCAGGAGGATTGCAAGTTAGAGCCCTCCTGGGCAACATAGTGACTTAGCAAGACCATGTCTTGAAAATTGAAAAATAAAAATAAATAAAAGGTTAGGGATGTAGCCTAGTGCAAACCCAATAACACCAAAAAATAAAAGTATAAAAGCATAGCACAATATGCAAATTTATCAGGGAGGAAGTCACAGTGAAAAAGCAGTGGTGATATTATTCTTTTCCAGAATTAGAGGGAAGCACAGTCAGATATAAGTAACTCAGACTGACTTTTGCTTTATTTCTCTCCGATTAAGAAACTGATACTAACTTCCTGAGTTTATAATCAGATCAAAGTGTTACTTAGAGCAGCTGCCTCAAGTTTCCTGTCTCCAGGGTCCAGTTAGGCTCTAAGTTTTAAATCTACTTAATTGGTTTTGTTAACAATCACTTTTTCAAAAATGGCAGCACTACATGTGTCAGTATCTTAGAAATTCTTGGAGTAACAGGAATTAGAGAGAGATCTTTGATATCATGTTATCTAATACACTAATATTAAAATAAAGACTGAGGTCCTCAAAAGTTCAGTGTGAAGAAATCAGCACCAGAACTGAGGTCTTCCCAATCCAATGGTAGCTGAATCTCCTCTCACTATTCTACATAGCTATTATAATTCTGTAAGATGGTTTTACTACACTGCAATGAAATAGCTTTGAATTGTAAGTATGATAAAATTCACCGTATACTTTAAAACATTATTGTATGGGCTGGGGATTTAGCTCAGCAGTTTTGGCGCCTGCTGTGCAAGCGCAAGGACCCGAGTTCGATCCCTGGTACCAAAAAAAAAAACCAAAACATTATTGTAAGTGAAAGGAGACAGACCCCAAACCACATACTGTATGATTCTATTTGTATGAAATGTTCAAAATAGGCACAAAGTAGATTAGTGTTTATGAGGGTGTGGAGGAATTGGGAAATTAGGACTAACTACCAATAGGTACAGGTATTCTTTCTGAGATAGAAATACTCTGGAGTTAGTGGTGATGGTTGTACAACATAATAAATACATTAAAAGCCACTGAATTGAGCACTTTAAATTGGTGAATTTTATATTATGTGAAATGTATCTCAACAAAAATGCTACTAAAATCACCATATAAAATTTATTTTCAAAAACTATAAAGGGAATGATTTACTTGCTGTGTGTGTATCTGACTCACCCAAGATACATTTTCCTGTTTTTGCCCCTGTCTCTCCCAGAGTTTTGTTTACTTGTTCACACTTGGCTAAGAGGAAAAGAAGGCTGATTTGACACATTGGTAAGTTTACAGTACTGCTTTATTGATCTTCCTCTCTCCCCATCAGTCATGGAAAGGAAGTGTTACTAACGGCAGAGTGTGTCTGGATTTCTGTAATGTCCAAAACACCATGATTTTTGTAAAATTAACTTTACAAGTTTGTAGAGCAGGATCATGCAGGAAATGGACATACTATCCTCATAACTTACACATATAACTGTTCATTTTGAACAATTTTTGTAGGCCTTATACTCTGCTAGGCAATAAAGTTTAGTTTATCTTAAGACAGAAAGGAACAAAAATCAATCAGCACTTCCACTAAAGGGCTCCTGGTAACCTCCAACACTTTTTCCAAGCAATGACATATGAGTTCACCTTTTGCTTCTATTTCCATCTGTGCTTTTGCTTTCCAGAGGCAATCAATCTCAACTTACCCTACAGAAAAACAAAATGTTCTGACCAAACTATATGCTGCCTATAAAAAATATAATTTAAATATAAATATGCAGATTCATTAAAATTATAAGAATGAAGAAAGATATACCACCCTAAACTGAATCAAAGTTGAAGTGGCTGTATTAATATTAGACATAGTAGATTTTGAAGCAATAAGTATTACCAGGGATAAAAAAGGTTACATTATTATGTTAAGGCACTAATACATTGAGAGGATCTAATAACCCAAAATTTGTATGCATCTAATAACAAAGTTTAAAAATACATGAAATAAAGCTGATAGGAAAAATGGGCACATCTGTATTTATAGTCAGAAATATCAATACTTCTTTCTCAATAATTGATAGAACAAGTAGCTAGAAAATCAACAAGTATATAGAAATGTGGACACTATTAACTAAATTAACTTAAGTGAAATTTATAGAATACTTCACCCAGCAACAGCAGAATATATTTTATTTTTAAGTGCAAATGACACACTTTCTATGGCAGACCCATATTAGGACATAAAACAAGTCTCAGTAACTTTAAAAGTCATACAAAGCATGTTTCTGACAATAATGGAATTAAATTAAAAATCAGTAACAGAAGTATTCCTGGAAGATCCTCAAGTGGTCATTAAATTATATACTTCTCTAACACATTGGTTAAAGAAGAAATCAAAAAGGAAATGCAAAATATTCTGATCTAAATAAAAATGAAAACAGCATATTATGTGGTCTATTTTGGAGAACGACCCATGTGCAGCTGAAAAGAATGTGTATTCTGATTTTGTGGGGTGGAAGACTCTGTAAACATCTGTTAAGT